AATGCCACTCAGTTTTATTTTGTGGGAGTTTTGTTAAATGGCATGCTGTAATTAACACTGACGTAGAAACACACAGAAAGGCCAACACAACCACAGAACAGTCCCCATGCAATATCTACATGGCGTGTGACAGTGCTAGCATTTGATGGCTGCCCAGGAACTTCAGCCACAGGAATTTGTCCCAGGCACTAGGAGGGTGGGAGTAACACTGGTGGTACCTACTGCACAGCACTTCTGCGAACGCAACATGCAACACCTAAAGCATATCCAGTTACACAGTGATATCCCTTATTTTCAGCCATGCATATAAACATCTACAGCTATAGCTCCCCTTTATCCTGGCCAACAACTCACTAGAAGGCCAGGGAAAAAACCAAGCAGCTGCGAAAGAAGAGTTAGCAGATACTTTTAAGAATGTAACCTAACACATAATAATGCTCACTGGGCATTTCAGCAAGCCAGTTCCCATTTAAAGAAACCTAACAACTCCTTTTCACTATACAAGTTTATTTGCTGGCATCTCAAAGATTTCCACTTCCTTTTCACTAACCAAAACTCACCACATACTTCAACTGTTCATGTAGCAGCAACAAGACATGTGGACAGGCACGGCGAGAGGTGCCAGTGCAATGCAATGTTCTGCTACCAGAACTTCTACTATGGGAAGTGCCACTAGCCTTGATGAGAAGACAAGCTCTACCACAAACAATGGGTTCATCACTTCTGCCAGGCCCCCTGCTTCAAGGTCTTCCTTTTTCAAGTCTCACCCACACCACCAATCATTTCTCCAAGAGGTTTGGTATGGTCCAGAAACGCCTGGGTTGCACTCTCACCATATTTCTTTGAAGCACTAAAAAAAAAAGCCAGTAAGCTGACACGAGCAGAAGGGTGAGATGCTATTTTTACACAAGGCTGCCAGCCTTGCTTACCTACTGCCTCTTCCCTTGCTGTTCCTCTGCTTACACGAGAGCACCAATTCTTAGAGAGCCTCTCGCCCACTGGGGATGGGGCGGGAGCCTCTGGCTACACCATCCCTCTGGAAAACCTTCTCTGGGTGGGCCCGACGGCCCCAACATCGCCGCGCCGCGGTGCTGATCCCTGCCGGTTCTCCAGCCCTTACCCACGCCCCGTGGGGTTTTACCCCTCGCCCCCTCGCGCTACCGCTGAACGAGCCCCCATTTAACTACCTCCCCCACCCCCGTGGGATTTACCTCAGCACCACCACGATGGGGCTCTCGCTGCCCGTCACCACCATCAGCCCCTTCCAGATCATGAGGGCGGACGAGACGATCATGCCGAAGTTCAGCACCTGGTAGTACAGCTGCGGGCGGAGGCGGGGGGGCAGTCGGTCAGGCTCCGCGG